GGAATGTCAAAAAGAAATTTATTAGATGCATAAATCGGGACCTAATCACGTTAATATTTACACCTCGACTTTTTGCCGGAATTATACGCCCACCACCCACCTACTTTACCTTTTATAAAAAAATAAAGTATGTGTGTGTAATTCACTTCCGAAACTTCCGATTTTTTTTTATCTCAGAAAAACCCTTTAAATTTTACCCGAGCCGCGAATCGAACCCATTAAGGCAGCGTTTTTCAAATTTAGAATTCACGAAGAAGATAAAAATATTCACATGTCAGAATATTATATTAAAAATGATGTGTAATGTATTCGATCTCATTCTCTCGCCACCTTAATCATATTATGTGTTTGTTTCTTTATCGTGACGCATTTTCGTTTCATCGAGTTTCAAATCACAACGATTCTAAAGAAGTTTCACTTAAAAGAATGTTTGTTTGTATAATGACTACTATCAGTTTTTTGGATTTGTTAACACATCAATTTAAATATAACAAAACCAATAGCACCATTTGTATCCACCTACATCATTTTTTCTACAATCCATCCACTAAAACTAATATTATGTGTGTTACTTTATTTCTATTTTCTGTATTCACTCAGAGTTTATGTATCTCGAATAGTCACGTCTCCGTCCCGGCGAAGGGTAAAGCATACAAATAAGTGAAAGTCCGAAACCGCCGAAACACCCGACGCCACGTTCTTTATCTGCGGATCTCTTAAAAGAATTTGATCGTATATGAGAATATTACGAGCAACATCTGTGACAAGGGCCGTATAAACTTAAATATTTGGCTACACGACCACACTTGCCATAAAAAAAGTTTGTTATTGATTTTGCCAAGGTTAATTCTAACATGTAACTATTTTAAGCTTTTTTCAGTAAGTTCAATAATACGATTTCAACACTTTTTACAGAGATTCAGAAAAGGAATTAAAAACATACACCAGAATTACACATTTAATATACATATGTTCAAACTTATCTAAATTGAACAAAGTTTTGCTTAAATTCTTTCATTTTCTTTCTACGACCGTGAAATTGCACAAGAACTCTTACAATATTTTTCTGTTATGGAAGTTAGTTTGTCTTGTTATTTGCAAAACAAATCGATCGTAGTTGAATATGTTATTTGTCAGGATTTTGTGTCACGCGTATTATAACGAGGTATCTCCGTAGCCGCAATCAATTTGGCAGCATTGGTGCTGTCAATTTGCGACTCAGCCCGAGTGCGAGGAGCCCGCCTCGCTCGGCCCGGCCGCATCTGATGACTTCCGACTGACCGCTTTTGATTTGCATAAGGGCCCAACTCTAATACGAGATTATTCTCGAGTTAGGACGGTCAAAGCGGCCCCATTCATTATTAGTTTTGGAATATTTAGTTGACCCAATCCCCGACGTAATTATTTGAATTGCCACTCGTATTTTACATGCTTGTTGGCAAATAAAATTGCGATTTCATTAAATTATGTATTTAAAGATTTTTTGTAATTGTTTTTAATCAATTTTAACAAAAAAATCAGGGCCGGTAATTGTGAAATTTTAGACACATTGCTGGTATTTAAATTACTTGAATGTCCATGCGAATAGTATTAAATGAAGTCTAAGTATGTACCAAGCCAGACCAAAGCCATCAATTACATACATCGATTTTAAAGAGCTTCAAATGGCTTGGTTAGTAAATATGACGGGTATCTTACCCTGTAAGATTAAATTTATTCTAACTTCTTATTGTAAACGGTGTTTAGCCGCAATATTGGAATATTTTGTTGACTATTATCTTAAAACAAAAAAATAATAATTATAATAATGATTATGTACTGAATGTAAGCAATGGTGTAATTTAACAATCTTTCATCAGAAAGAATATTTCTTGATTTTGAATTGCAATGCGTTATGCTGTTATCATATTTCCTCAAATTTACACATAGCACTGATGAATTTTACACTTGAACCTACCTCCTGAATCGCTTTATCTATTGGTTAAAACCGTATGAATCACTTTTAGAATTTATTGATTGATTGTTAAATCCTCATTCAATGTAAAATAGGTTAAATCTTTATTCACCCACCCTATGGTAATGATATGAAATACAAATACGTCAATCTGACACTTTTCTTTTTTTTATATTGTGAGTAAAATATAAGACGTTCTCAACAATCGATTTATTTTGATGTTTTTTTAAAGACCATTCCAGCACTAGGATTATATCCTGTGTCGGGGGAATTTACGAACATACAAGAAACGTACACAAAGCACACCCAGACTCAGAATAACAATTTGTAGATTGAACGTTATCGTCTGCGGTATTGCCGGACCGATACGACCTCTAAACCTTCAAGAAAAGAGCGTACTCCTTCCTCTAATTTGCAATCGTTTATAGGCGGCGGTAGTCGCTTTCCACCCTTCTGCTCGTTTGCACCCTCTTCCATAAAAAAAACCCAAAGTGTTGTCCTTTGTGGGGTTCGAACCCACAATACTTAGCGCAGCAGGCAGCGGCGAGGTAACTGCTAAAACCATTACTAGCCCTACAGTCTCCGCGCATTCAGTCTTTTGTAATTTTTTAACCATTGGTTTTAACTTTTTGGAATACATTAAAATGTTGTTCGCTAAATACATAGAGATATTAACTGCCTGTACAATACGGTGTTACACGTGTAGGAATTTAATCGAGACCGAAGCTACATTGTAATCACAACAATATTGTACATATGCTACAGTCGTACCGGAGAGAGCGTCTTACCATCGGTGACAAAGGGATTAACCCTCCCCCGCACTGCTGTCTGCGGTTTCTTAATTAACCCCTAAATACCCTTGCACGCGCCGCACTGCCTCGTGCGGTATGTAAGATTATTTGCCAGCGTTACCCTTGTTAATTTTAATGTACAGTATTATTGAAACAAATAGGAGGCCTCTTCTCTATGAGACTCTTATTAACTTAAACGTACATAAACACGCTCTGTCTGTCTCGTTACCGCGTCACATATATAATTTACGGATATGTCGTATTTTCTTGTGGCTGTTATTGTTTGTGTTGTCTCGTGTGTGACATAATCTTAGTTAGGGTCGTTGACGTGACTACCAGTGATATACTGAACTAATATTATTGGCCAAGAATGTTGTTTGTGTCTGATATTGAGCAAGAATATAAACAGATTAATGTAATTGTAGTGTCTCTTTTTTTTTACTGGTGAAACAAATTTTTCTTTGGTTTTACATATGTGTACAACACTTCTACGATCGATATTTATCAAAATCATCGTTGTGGTAATTACATCTGGACTGTAATTTACATCGATTGTTGTTATAGTTTATCCACCATATTTTTTGATAATAAGTTAATTGTTTTTAATTGCTTGTTCTCTCATAGTAATCCCTTAAGAAGAACATTTAACGTAGTTTATTTTAAATAAGATGTCCACAGCACTCCGTTAGAAATGGTATGAAGTGTGGCAATGCAAGTTTTTCATTATTGGTGATGTATTTTTAATGGATCTACCAGCGTTTGTAAACATGATCTGCGGTAGTCAATTACCATCACGTGGTCAAGGTGGTGGACACAGGACACAGGACCGGTGAAGAGCTTTGGGGGAGACCTATGTCTAGTAGTGACCGTCTTACGGCTGAGAGAGAGAGAGAAAGAGAGACCGACTGCTCACTTGCCCACTGTACTAACCATAAAATAATATTTTCAATGTGAGATAGTAATGCAAAGTGCCTCTAAGAGCTGTCTTTATTGTTGTAACCTGCGTTGTAGTAATTTCCCACTAATACATGAATCGTTTACGTGCATACCTACTAGTTGACGGCCTAAGTGGCAAGAACAAATTAGGTTAATTCTTCAGTGATTATAGGCTACTCATGTTACACATGTTACAGTCCCAAATTACAGTTCCTAAATTAGTTCCTGTAGGTGCTTGATAATGAACACGACAAATTACAATATGTAACATATTACGTAATGAATATACGTCAGAGCTCAGAAGGGTATCAGAATAATGTTATATTCATTGTTACCAATAAAGGTAGAGAAACGCATACACAGCTAATAGGGTGCGTTATAGATGTTAATGTGCGATTTACATCCGTTGAGTCAGGGGCACTCGGGTAGAAAATGGAGCGTCGTGCTTGGAGCTAATACGATCAGGTGAGCAAACACGCAACAACCGGAGCTTTCATCTTCAGTCGGGTATCTCTTAGAGCCCCGTTCGTAAACACAAACATATAAGTAGAAACGAATGATAGTGTTGTGCCAACACTGCTTTTCTCGTTAAATCTTCCTACTAATATAGTATAGGAACTACCGATATGCGACGCTCTAACGACGACTGACAATGTACATACATCATATTGGTATTACTTCATATGTAATTAATCGATACTGAGTGATGTTACACTTTCTTAGATTTTATAGTTGAGATTTTTTTATGACTTTAAGGATAAAAACAAATAAATGACCCACATACAGATTTACAAGAAAATCGGTTACGGTAGCCTGCATAATAATACTTCAATAATCGCAACAATAGTGTTTTGTGTGGAATTTCTAAAGGTAACTTTAGAAATAATAAGAAAGAACAAAAGATAGACAAATAAATCTTATTCTTAAAAATTATTTAGTTTTTTGTCGTTGTCATTTCACATAGTTTGCCAGTACCATTAGAAACCTCATCATCGTCTCCTGTTATCCTGATAATGCTTTACTTACCTAAACATTTTCCTTTACTATACGCAATTATATGAACGTATTACCTCATAGCAAAGTCGTACCTCATACCTTAGATAGGTATTAGATTAGATTCATAATGTTCAAAATTGTATCATAAAATAAGTTATTTAAAAATCAAGACGCATAACCTGAAAACATTTCAAATTAAGTAGCCCATTATTTACCCCTTCAATAATAAAAAAAAGAAAGAGTAAAACCAACCCCAAACCGGTTAATTAGTTATTAAGTCAAAACTGTAGCATGACAAGCAAGCAAAATACTTCTTTACAGGAATGTACGAGTATAAACAAATGAAACTAAATGCCTATCGCCACAGAAATGTACATACAAGCGTGGAACTAGAGACATGTTCAATCGTGTCTCCTCGATTCGTGTTTATGTTCAAACAAGACGGTTAGTCTTTGCGTCGAGCTGAGTAAACACCATTGATTCATCTCAGAATTTTGAATTCGCTGTATTAAATATTGGACCCATTAATCAAACACTGAATGCTATGGTTTGAATATATAATAAACTATTCAAATCATACATACGAGTATTATGTAGTCGAAGCCAACCAGCGCCTTTCAAAACTGACTCTGAAACATGTATTTTAATGACTTTTTGACCAATGTTGACTTGTTTTTAAATCACTAAAGGTAAACCAATTATTTTTCCGTTTTTAGATGGATGCAAGGTTGAAATATAAATCGATCGTTAATTGAAATATATTATTAACTAGCTGACCTGTGCAACTTCGTCTGCTTCTCTTAAAATGAATACATTTTGCCCGTTTTGGCAACATTTTACATTGATACACGGCTCCTGTTGGTCGTAGCATGATGTTATATAGCCTTTATCCTTCTTCGATAAAGGTTTATCCAACATTGAAATATTTTCTTAAATCGAACCCGTAGTTCCTGTGTGAACATACAAACTCACAAATTTTAACTCTTTATAATATTAGTATAGATCTATTACAGTCTTCTGTCTCATTCACTCACTAACTATTCATATTATGAAATTTATACAAACATTGTCCTGACAATAACGAACACAAATATATTATCCAATTTGGTGCAGTCGTTCGGAAATTATGCACGCACATACATTTCAGCGATTCATTTTTTTTTATGTATATACAAAAGATTGATTCAAACATTGATCAACATTCACACTTTTTGAAAGTATTATGATGAATTAGTTTATCGATTTAATAGCGGATGCAAACGAGTGTATTTAAGTACCTAATGTATGTATGTGCATCAAAATACATAATTAAACTTAAAAACGAATTATTTATTAGTTAATGACTTATTTGTTTTTGCCATATTCCAGAATCCGTTAGCATACAAACTAGTACTGTACTTAGACTTTTTAAATATTTTATTTAATTAAATTCAGCGTTGAATACTTCACAGTTATTTGCAGCAGAGAGTTTACGCATGGTTTCTAAATGAATTACTAAAAGGATAGACTTTCTTAACATTCCTAGTCATATTAATTATGAAATGAAATATTCAGAATACTTTTACAATCATAAAGATAAGATAAATCGACTTATAATCCTAATTAAATAAACTAAATTTATTTACAACAGCCTACTTTTTCATTTAAAATTTTTAAGGCCCTACCTGAAAAGGAAAAACGGATCCTTATAGGATCACTTTGTCGTCCGTCCGTCTGTATGTCTGTCTGTCAAGACCCTTTATCTCGGGAACGTGTGGTGGTATCGAGTTCAAATTAAATCCATATATTCAGGTGTATCTTGAAGCTGTGAAAAAATGAAACTTCTAAGTTAACATTAAAATGTTCATGTTTCAAAAAAAAACGCATATTTCGATACTCTCAAGGATATCTAAATTTATGGGGAACACCGTTGACCTGGAATTACAGCAAAGAATTTGAAAACTATACGTTTGTAATTAAATCATAAAAAAATATAGACTCGTCCACCCAGGATTCCGTACAAATTTGTAGGTACATATTATAAATGGTTCAGGAATCGAGTCTCGCAGTTTTTGCCGAGCTTTTCCCGAAATTCAGTTTCGAAACCTAATTATTATACATTATACATATAATAACTTACATTATTGTGTTTTATAAATGAAATTGTACCTCGATGATTGATTACGTACTTTAAATGAAGACTAAGTATATTGTTTATGATTTAATTACAAATGTATAGTTTTCAGACTTTTTCCTGTACTTGTACTATAAGATGACGTTACTTATCAAATTTCATAGCTCTAGGTCCCTATAAATATCATAACACCATAATAATATAAGAAAGTACCCTATAAAATTTAATTCCCTTGATAGTATCGAAGAATGGTTTTTTCGGCATAAATAGCCATATCTTTTATTTACGTGGACTTAGAAGTTTTATTTTTTCACAACTTTCAGGGACCGTGGACTTGAGTATACAGTTTTAATTTCAACTTAACTAATACTCAAGAGGTATCAACCTGTACGCGTTGCTGAGATTAAGGGTCTTTACAGACAGACAGACAGACGGACAACAATATGATCCTATAAGGAATCCGTTTTTTCCGTATGAGGTACGGAACTCTAAAAATCACGAAATTCTCTAAAGTCGAAAGCGCTTTATGTTATTCACAGAATACAACTAAAATTCCTTCAAGCTGAAAACACCTTTCTGTAATTTCTGCTCAGTTAATTAACATAACTAAGAACTAGATACGGCTTATTTGCATTTTTTAAGTACTAGAAACTAAGAAATTTTAGCAATAAAACGATTTAATTACTGCAACATTACTCCAAACAATATTTCTTATAAGCTCATAGAAATCATACCGTTTGTCAAAATATTTAGTTATTAAAAACTGAAATAATAGTAACAAAGTACGTAGCTCACAACAACTAAGTGACAACTAAACATAACAAAACCCTTTGTGAAATTGTATCTTGCAGAATTGAAATCATTTAAAAATATAAATCGATCGAAGTAGTATTGCCTTTTATAAGAAAGCGATAACGTACGAGTACTTAATAATTTTCTCTTCGAGTACCGACATAAATGTAAGAACTTAAGAAGAAAACAAAGAACGCCAATTTGGCAAGTCGAAGACAAACGCATTTAAAATGGGCAGAGCAGAGCAAAGGCCATCTATCTTGGAGCTTGATAAACGACGACATTATTCCTTATCGCCCACTCAATTTGTTTAAAAGCGTTCTGCTTTGATAATTTGCGAATTACAAATCGTATCTTTTGACACAAAAATGTCCTCATAACTGTAAAATCTTGACAACTCGATAAGATTCAGACCGAATCGCTCCAATATATGTAAATTATATCTTGTGAATAATGTAGCAGCTTTACGCTTTGCTAAGACATCAGATCATATGGAAATTTGATCACTTGAAAAGTTTCGGTTGCTTTGAGGTTAAAGCGGCAGCGATATGAAGAGATTGTAAAGACTGTCAGAGAGCGCGTATTCGATTTATGTCCACTTAGCTAAGTGTTATCAAAATGTATAATATTTATTTTAAGAAAGTAGCTATTATTTTAAGAAGGTGCAGTTAAGCTTTTATGCAAGTGAATAATCAATAAAAATGTTTTTTTTTATGTTTGACCTGTTACTTAGAATTTAACATTATTGTTACAGTTGTCGAGGAGCCGGAGTTTACAGATGTAATTCAGAACGTGACCGTCCCCGCTGGCCGGAGCGTGCGTCTCGCCTGCTCCGTCAAGAACCTTGGCTCATATAAGGTACAAAAATGCTTTAGAGGTCAATCAACATTTCTCGAAACTTGATCGGTTAAATTAGGAATTAAATTTGAACACTTGACAGTATTAGTAACTAAGATGGACTAGACTAGCATTATTGTTAGCTCTAACAGACTTAAAACAATTAGAACAAAATCAGGTTGTTAAATTATATTTTTTTTAAATAACTGTTAAGGTATAATATCGCTCAAACATTAAACTTGGAAAAGGAGGTTCTAATCTGTAATGTAAAAATCTATATATATAAAAGTCTGAGTGTTCAATATTGTAATTTACTATACAGGTAAATAGTGAGTAATAGTTTCTCAGCTGTCGTATTCTCTAATTATGGGAACCCTATGTTCAGCTAGGTCGTTTAAATACTCAATAGATGAGTGCCATAGAAGTCTTTTAAGAAGCCTGAGAAACACGCCTACCAATAGTGCGCTTTTATGATGTTTTATGTCAAAGAAAATTTGTTTATCTCTAATGCAAAATCACATTCCTGAATGGGGTTCTCTAAGATAGGTGGTGACGCCACCGTGCGGTAAAAAGACGGCAATACGTGGAGTGGCGAAAGGAAACATAAAATAAGAAGCATTTTATCATTTGATTTAGAACGCGCCGTCGTAATAAAGTGTCCATATAAATGGAGGAAGATATGATTTACAACCTCTGCGTTGAGTTTCCACCTCGATCTTCAGCCGAGACGCTTTAAAAACTAAAATAGGTTCTAATACTCTGTAAAGTCAAGGAGACGTTCAACTTTTTCTTTGTAAATAATGTTGTAAATTGAAATGTATTCAAATCTGCTAATAATAATAATATTTTATTTTACAGAAAACTTCTTAAGAAATAATTACTGCACCATTTTTACACGCTTTATATTAGCTTCACTTGTATGTTTGTTTGTATGTTTGTAACCGACTTCTTTTTGCGTGATTTTGACTGACTTTAAACGGTCACAATTCGTTAAAACTTTGTAGACATATGGAGGACCGAGGACCGATGACAATACACTAATTAAAAAAAAAACTATAGATTAAAAAAACTAAAAAACACGCTTTCTATAGAAAACCAAACTGAAAAATAGAAAATAAATTTGAAAAAAAGCGTTGTGTGCCTGTTGTCAATAGTAAAAAGCACCCCACGCTTCTTTCATTTTCTATTTCTATTGTATTCTATTCTATTTATTTATTTTTAATTTTCTAATAATTTTTTAACTTATAATGTCATCATTTGTCCACTATATTTATAAGAACATGATGGAAGGGAATAGGGTACAGTAGATTTCTACTCGATTTGGAACTCTTGAAAAGTTTGTTAACTAATTCCACGTTTTAGGAGATACAACAGCTGAGTTTATTTCCTTTTTTTTTTTGTAAATAAACAAAACTATTAGGATCAAGTTGATCTTTAACTTCATGATTAGTTTTAACTTTAAACAACTATAATACTCTTCGATCATGGGTCTGGAATTGATAAGGCCCTATATTTGACTGATTATCTGTAGTCCTATATAAATATTACGGCAAGTATGAGAGTTCACAGTGATGCAATGAGTAAGCGTAGCTCGGACGAGCGACGACAGGCGGTGGCATGACCGGACGGCCGATAAGCCACAAGGTGACGCCGCCGCGCCGGCTAACTGCCGGCACCGCAGACACCCGGTCCCACTCCCCGCAGGGAGCCAGCTTCATTTGGTTCCCACCGTGACTCCCTATGCACCCACTATTAACTAGAAACGTAGATTAGTTAGTAATAGCTAAACCGTAGGTAAATGTCTCAACATTGAAATGATAGCGTTCGTATATACACAGGTAGATTCAAACGTTCATGAAATTAAACAAGTTTGTTATTCAATAAACACTCAAATTAAGAAATGAATCTTGTTTATACTCAGTGTATATTTTTTTAGACACAAATAGTAATTGAATGATCAGATTAAATATATAACTTATATAATTTGAATAAAAAGCATATTGCTGATATCTTTGAACATCTACATTGTATGTGACCTTTGGAAAATTACTTAAGTACTTTAGTCAGTATGTTTTGGGGTCTAAATTATTATTGTTCTTTTCTGAACTAAAAGCTAATAAAAATAATAGCACATACGTATATATATCGTAAAGATCAAGATTGCACACACATAAACATAAGGACACACAGACCATAGTAGTACAAAGTAAGAACCGGTAAAAACAAAACCGAAAAACATCGATAGAATTTCTATTGATTTCCGTTTGGCCGACTCTTTCTTTTTATGTTATTGCATTTATTTAATGCTAAGGCTGTCTGCGGTACGAGCGCAATAAAAGCCGAGATAGTGTTCTCTTACTTCTAAAATAAAGGCTTAACTCGGGGAGGCATCACGGTTGCCCTGTATTGACAACAAGAAGCGGATTTCCCCGAAAGCCTCGCCTGTGCCATTAGTTTCCCGCATCGGTTAAAAAGATTTGCCTTTTTGTCCGTATTTTTTTAGAATTATTGACTCATGCGAAATATTGCGATGAAACGACAAAAAGTTTTCTTTATACAAGATCCTTGTTAAATTTATTTTTATATATTATGCTTAAAGCAAGGTTCTTCATCAGATTGGCGTTTGAATAACATAAAATTTTAGGCTTCGTTTTGTAGATGTCTACTCTATTTACTTTTAGTTTTCTATGTGTTTTTTTTAATAGTGCAGTTGTTGAGATAATATTGTCAGTGCAAACGGTACGGTTCTTTTCTAACATACAATATAAAAATATTAGCACCTTAAAATAGTTTTTTTAGGTAATAGCCGTATTCAATTTGTAAATATAGTGTGACGACAAAGAGGTACCGGTTTTACAGTTATACTATGAATAATTGCTAAAAAAGATATATGTATCTTCGACGTGCCACTTCCACTACTGTTCACGGACTCTAAGGTTTCAATAAGAAACGCAAATATCAAATCCAGTGAGAAACCAGCTCCGTCAGGCTGGCTTTGGGAAAAACTTGTTTTTTTTATTCTTATTTTTAACTAAAAAAGATGCTAATGAATTTAATAAACTTTATTTTTTCATAGTATCAATAATAACGCGGAAAAACAATCAATTATGCTCAAAGCACTAATTATTAAAAATAATTTAAAAAAAGTTTTTATATAAGCGCTAAATTGTTTCTAGGTTAATGTAGTTACAAAAAAAAATTGCACTACTTCATTTCAGAAATCTCATTTAAACTTTAATATTACGTTTTTTTTTTAAAAGACACTGACCCGGGAACTGAAAACGATGCTAATGAATGCAGAATACTTTATTTTTTTGTAGTATTAATAATAACGCAGAAAACCAATTAATAATGCGCAAAGCAATAAAAAAATATTAAGATATAAGCACTAAACCGGTGTTAAGCAATTCTTTCGTTGCCTTTCACTGAGTGAGTGAGGTTAACGGAGCCTAAATTCCCCCTTCCGCTGACTCGAACGGGAAGGACTCAGCAACGCACTTGTGACTTTTGAACTGCAGGTGTCCATGGGCCGCGGTAGTTGCTTACCATCAGGTGACCAGTCTGCTCGTTTGCCCCCTTATAGCATAAAAAAAAACATTGTCACCTGGAGAGTTAGCGCATTCTAGAGTAGCACTGCTTGAACAAAGAACGAAGAGCTCACAAAGTCGGAGTTGTGTGAGAGATATAAGAGAAACAGATTATTAACTGAGCGAAGATTTCTGTTGTGATTAGCGAGAGGGACTCCAAGGGCGGCAACGCACTTGTGACTTTTGAGTGGCAACGAAAGAATTGCTTAACACCGGTTTAGTACTTGTATTTAGCTTTGCGCATTATTGATTGTTTATCCGCGTTATTATTGATGCTAAAAAAAAGTTTACTCCATTCATTAGCATTGTTTGTAGTTAGTTTTTCAAGTTTTTTAAAAAGCGGGTTCCAGCGTGACGGAGCTCAAGAAACCATTGTTAATCATAAATGTGTGATGACATGACTAGTGAGTGACTTTGGTATTCAAATAAAAGTTCATAATGTTAAATTCCATTCACGTTGCAATTCGAAAAGATTTCCTATGTTATGCAAATGTCTGTAAGTATGCGCGCATAGCCGGTTCATCGGCATGAAATGTCAGATACTCGACAGTAGCACGTATGTGGGTTTTGCAATAACATGCCACAACGAATCGCAGCTATGTTACACTCGCGCCACATGCGAGCGCCGCTTGTTCAAATTCTGGCATATTTCTCGTGCCTTAATACTGGCGCTCGCAGAAGCAAACTGAACCCAAGATGAGGGGAGCCCAGAGCACTTGTTACAACGACCGCCCAACTGCCTCGCCACTAATGTAATGATCCTGTTCACCACGATACAATCGTGAATAATGCAGACTCATGTTTTAATTAAAATACAAATATCTTTTTTGTAAAACAATTATGACATTAAGTTATAAAACTATCAGAACATTCTTCGTTCTTTTACAATATTGGGCTTGTGGTTATATTTAAAAACTAGGAACATTGTATTATTACATATTTTTCATTTTAGAAGCTCTTAGAATTACTTAATCCCTATTTTCTGTGCCCGTGGTATTACTCCAGGCTAGCCACCCATTTGTGCCGACCAGTAGTTATTTAATAGAAATAACACAAATATAGTGTTGTTACGATACAATTTAATGTAATAAGTATTTATTCAATATAAGTAACAAGTTGCTATAAAGAGGAACTGCGAACTATGGAACTCTGCGGAATTCCGCAGTGACGTACAAGTTTGATGTTAAGTAGGTACTTTTTTTAAAGACAAAGAAAAAGTTTTCAAAGTTTTTAATTGATTACTAATTTTAGTTTGGTTAACATACGTAAACACTGGCCGGTATTTATATATAATATTCAAATATAACGATCCTCCTATTACAAAGTCCTTCTATGATATGAATGATAATACAAATTATTACATTGTATTAATAAAAATTACAAGAATATAATGTATGTATTAGTACTGCTAAGTGGCTAGCAGCGGATGGTTGC